AATAATTATTACAATAGATAATTTAAAATTATTTATTTCAAAAAACGGGTCATTTTAAGTTGTTAAATTATTTTCGGCAAAAGAATTATATTTTTTATAATTATGATGATTTAAAAGAATTTATTTTGAAAAAGAATTATTTATTTTGGATTTAACTTAAATTATGATTTTGTGTTGGTAGTTATAGACTGTGACATTTCATGTGCAAATCAATCACGGTTTCTGTTTTCCTTTTAACCATAGTTATATCAGTGTTAACTATCTGTGGATAATTTTCATGAGTAGATTAGAAGTTTGAATAACAATATATTAATGAAACTGAACTGCATGCATGTTTTTATTGTTCATGATTGCATTTCATGTTTTATGATCCTTATTTTAATATATTCGACATGCCATGATGTGGTTGCATGAAATTAGTGTTATTATTATCTCCTTGTTGTGTTTGAGAACATTAGTAGTTCATAGCTTAGTTGCCTTGTGTGTCATGAACAGACCTAGTGATATGTGTGAGTTTGTTAACTAAATTTAGGTGGTGAACCAAAGATAGTGTGGTTTATATTTGACTTAGAAAAACGAGAAGAGTTCGGATGAGAAAGTCTTTGTTCATGTGATCGAATATGGCTGTTGATGTATCTTCAAGGCTCGCACCAGTGAATTCTGTAGTCACTAGGGTTGGTTTGTTGGGTTAAAGTAAATTCGTGTAGTCACTTTAGTCCGTGACTTGTTTCGTCACCTGAGCTTTGCCTGAGTTCGGACCAGGCCGAGATCGGATTGCGTGTAGTACTCTGACTGATTCGTATAGCGGTATTAGATGCGCGTAGAGGATTTATGAATAGTCAGTTATCCGGTGATATGAATGTTGACTTTATTTGTGATGTTGAGTGAGTTTTAGGATGGCTAGTACTCGACCCAGTTATAGTGTGCAGTTAGCCTTATGATTATCATGTTTTAATAGTGTTTTCACATGTTGATTTTGTTAGATTTCTAGTTGCACGTCGTTTTGTCATTTTGTTATCGTATCATTTTTTGCTTTGGTTTTCGTTCTCTCTATTTGTTTTGTGGGATCTTGCCGTGTGCCATGCACACTGACGTACACCTGTTTTCTTTGGTGTACGTTAGACTTAGAAGAAAGACAGGTCCAGCTTGGAGATATGCCAGAGCCCGAGTATTCTCAGCAGGTGTGCTTTGCAGACAAAGCAGAAGAAGAAGCCGAAGCTTAGTTATTGGTCATAGTTGTTTTTGTAGTTCTTTCTTTTCCGTTGATTGTTGAAATTTTGTATCTCTTTAGTATTCATTTGTTCAGTTTTGTACAGGGCATGTTTGACCTGTATTATTATGTCTTGGATGATATTTCTTTTATGATATGGATCATTTTGTTCTGAGTTGTTTATTATATTCTCACTATCTGTGATCGGGAACCTGTGACTTTGTATTGTATTTATTGATGCTTAGCGTATTAGGTTGAGGAGAAATGTTTATTTTTATTTATTCTCCTTATTAATCTAATACATCATGGTCTTGTTCACGTTCTGTTTCCCCGATATTTTGGGAAGCGGGGCATGACAGGTTTTGTTGGTGGCCCATTCGGGTCATGGTCTCGAGTTCCTACCAGTAAGAATAATAAACAATTTAGACGTATATCATTTTTCATCCGTAAGACTATAGTTATCCCTTATCCTATCATCTCGATAAATTATATCGTAGTCCCTATCTTATCACTTTTAGACTTCGGGACTTCCCACTGTTCTTGTTTCGTCGCTTCGCGACTACACGCTCTCTCCCTATAACTCATCTTTCCTTATACCGGTCGTTATTATATGTGTTATTATTTTTACGACTATGTTTCTTTGGTTGACTTATATATCATTGATTGTATTGATTTCTATATTATTTATTATATTATTTTATGTATCACACACAATGTTATATTGTATGTCTTTATTATTAAAAATATATACCATTACTTATACATTTTCAATTGTTCAAATCATGTCATTAGATTTCACATATACACCGCATATCATATCTGACATTTAGATTATTTTATTGTGTTTAATTATTCTTTTACATATCTACATTATGTATGTGTACGTTTTCTGTCATATCATCTATTATTTTCATATGTTTAGATTATTGTATATTATTCATATTTTGTGATATACTTTAATAAGTTCATGATTTTAATATTCTACATATGCACTATATTCTTATCCTTTACATTTTTAGTATATAGTTTTATAAATAAGTTTTGTCTTGTTAGATTATTTTAGTATGTTCACAATTGGTTTCGTTATTTCTAAGAGTAATGTATTTATACTTTAATATTCAAGCGTTATTCATATTGTTAGGTTTGGGGTTTGAGTTACTATTTATATAGGTTTTTGTAATATTATCTTGTATAATTGAATATTGTTCTTTTATAACTAATATAAAAGATTATTTTAAATAGCGTTTGTGGGTATGTATAGTATTTATTCATGGTTTGTTTATAGTATATTTGCATATTTGTTGTTGTCTGCTTCGTTTTTGATATGTATTGTTTTGTCATTATGACAATATACATTGTATACACATGTTATTTTTTAGTATTTATTTTATGGTATTTTTTGATTTTTACGTCTTTTATTGTGTTATTTGTTGTTGTTTATTCTCTATTCATTATTTTCGTTACTTATGATGTTTTACTTTTTCATTCTTTTATAATTACTATTCTCTTTTTATTATAGTGTATTCACGTAGATTGTTATATTTATGATGTATATTTTTTATTGATTTATAGTCATTCATTATTTCTAGTATCAACTATGTTATTTTATATGCATGTCTTGTCATTCCAGGACATGGGGCATGACATTATGGAAAAAGCCTGTATGTTGAAGTAATTCCTTTGCGGCTTGTTGCAAGTTTCCTGGTTTAAACTGTCACGACCCCAAATTCCGAACCTAAGAGGAATATTGGAGCCGGACTAAATCTGTGAATAATCCTCCAAAAAATGCATTCATTAAAAGACCATCAAAATAATCTCTTCATTAAACTAAAACCAACAATAAATATTCTCTATATTCCCAAAATTCAACATTAACCAATTAACTTTATATGAACAAATATTCCTCAACTTGAAATAAAACTCGACCTAAAGAAAAGAAATCTCGTAACCACCAGAGATATGAACAAATATTCCTCAACTTGAAATAAAACTCGACCTAAAGAAAAGAAATCTCGTAACCACCAGACTCTCAATTCATCAACTAAACATCAAGACTAAAACTCGACCTAAAGAAAAGAAATCTCGTAACCACCAGACTCTCAATTCATCAACTAAACATCAAGATTTTATTTAACCTTCACCTAGAAGATAATAACAATCTTGAATTTTATTCCTTACTCCATTCTAAGAAGTTGACAAATAAATCTTCAACTCCACCTAATCTCGAGTTTCTGAAAAGAAAGGAAAATAACACAATGAATTCACAACTCAATAAATGGATAAATTCATATATTAAACACTGGTTTTGCAAAACTAAAATATTACGACGAGAGATAAACAAAATATAAGAATGATAGAGAATCATCAATGAACTTTAATACTTGATACAAATATTTAAGAAAATTTAGAAATCATGAAATGGAAATAAGCAGGATGCGTCTCAATGCGGTCAACACTTCATACTCCAGTTGACTTGGTAAATCCCACAATTATTAAGCCCATGTTTCCGGGACGTGAGACCTAAATTTGGGCTCTTAGTGCTAAAATAAAAACCTCATAGAGGCACATTAAGCCCTGTTTTAATAACTTTCTTATATCCGACATATATGGGTATATTGACTTGAGATGCATATGTTAAAAAAAAATAATAAACAAAGTTCATATAACCAAGTATGTTATACAAAAATGCCAAAGGCCAACCACTAGTGAAATCAATCAACCACATGTGCATCTCAACCTACTACCATATGAAAAGACATAACAATTAATAAAGAAAATAAACATAAGCTTATACCAAATATCCATGAGCCTCACAAAATCAAACTAGTCAACAAATGATATACCAGTAAATCATACGAAGGATATAATCCATCAGGAAACAAATCCACATATACTTACTATCATTTTGTAGGAAAAATACGCAATGCACAATGCATAAATTTACCACTTACATATCATTTAACATGACTATTTTTTGTACATTAATAGCATACTCCACGTGACTAGTTCTACATTATATGCATCACTTGTAGGCTATAGCCATTATTAGACATTCTAATACTTAATACCCCTTTTAGATACACTCAAAGTCATCATTAGGTATATATATTATATATCTAATAGGAAATAAGAAGGTCCAGAAGTATCCTATGAATTAAACACCATTACATAAAAAGATATAAAGGAAACGAAATGTTTCGAACCTCAACATTAATTCCTTGTCTTTGGACAGATAAATTAGAAGAACCATAGAATTTAAGTTGTACTAATACAAGATTGAAAACCTAGATTGAAGCCATGGCTGAACATCAGATAAGGAGATCAATAATGTATTTGATATGAGCATACTACTTAAGATAAGATTAGGAATTTCTACCTTGCTCAAAGCTTATTTTCCCAAAAACAAATCGATTGCTTCTCCCAATATCTTCAGTCTCTTGTTCTCTTCTTCTTCTTCTTCTATTTCTTCTTCTTTGATTTTTTTTTGTTTGTGCTGCGAAATTGTAAAGGGAATGACGTTTTTTTTTCCAGCGGAAAAAGACGGGAAGAAGGAAGAAGAGGCTGACGGGTAAAAGATGTAGGGTTTTGAGAATTTATAAAGATCCTTTTTTTGCTATTAAAACCCTCTAACAATTCTTACATAAAAGTCCTATACCTATACTTTTCCTTTTATATATAAATAACCAATAAAACCTAGAGTTATTACATACTATCCCTCTTAACAGAAGTTTTGTCCTCAAAACTTGGACATACCTGAGTCTTCAAATAAATTAGGATATTTTTCCTTCATCTAATCTTCGTGCTCCCATGTAGCTTCTTCAGCTGAATGATTTTTCCATAAAACCTTCACTAGCTTAACCATTCTTGACCTCAAGGCTTGCTCCTTCCAGTCCAAAATTCTAACTGGATACTCTGAATATGTCAAATCTTCCCTGATCCCAATAGGCTCATAATTCAATACATGACTCTGATCAAGTACACACTTCCTCAGCATTGATACATGTAAAACATTATAAATTTTAGCCAACTCTAGAAGCAATGCAATTTTGTATGCTACAACTCCAACCCTCTCCAAAATCTCAAAAGGTCCAATATATCTTGGACTCAACTTGCCATTTCTTCCAAATCTCATCACACTCCCTTAGTAGGTGATACTTTAAGGAAAATATGATCTTTGACTTCAAACTCCAACTTTTTTCTTCTATTATTGGCATAGCTCTTCTGCCTGCTTTGAGCTATTTGAAGCCTCTCACGTATCTGTTGAATCTTCTTAGTGGTAATCTGTACTATCTCAGGACCGAGCAGCCTTCTTTCTCCTACCTGGTCCTAACAAATATGTGATCTACATCTCCTATCATACAGTGCTTCATAAGGGGACATATCAATACTGAAGTGATAGCTATTATTATATGCAAACTCCACCAAAGGCAAATGTTTTTCCCAGCTACCCTTCAAATCCAAAACACAAGAACGAAACATATCCTCCAATGTCTGAATAGTCCTCTCCGATTGCCCGTCCGTCTGCAGATGATAAGATGTGCTAAAACCCAATTGTGTTCGCAGAGCATTATTCAGACTTTACCAAAATCTAGAATGAAATCTTGAATCTCTATCTGATATATTAGTCACCGATATCCCATGCAATCTCACAATCTCCTTAACATATAATTCAGTAAGCTTCTCAAGAGAATGAGTAATTTTACAAGGCAAGAAATGAGCCGATTTCGTAAATTGATCAACAATCACCCATATAGTGTCATTACCACTCTTACTCCTAGGAAAACCAGTCACAAAATCCATTGTTACCTTCTCCCACTTCCACACAGGAATTGGAAGAGGCTGAAGTAATCCGCCAGGCTTCTGATGTTCAATCTTGACTTGTTGGCACACCAAGCACCTAGACACAAATTCTTCAATATCCCGCTTCATGTCATTCCACCAAAATGTTTCTCGCAAATCTCTATACATCTTCGTAGATCCAGAATGAACTGTATATGCTGAACAATGCGCCTCCTCTAAGACTTCTTTCTTCAACTGTAGGTCATTAGGTACACATAAGCGGCTTTTGAATCTCAAAGTTCCATCATGAACTGTAAAATCATGTTGAAGTCCTCGCTCCATATCTGCCTTAATTTTTGAAAGAACTGGATCATCACTTTGTGCAGCTACAAGCCTGTCAATCAAAGCAGGCTGAATTTCAAGATGAGCAAACATCACTCTAGATCCTCGAAGTCGAATATCAATATCAAGTCTCCTCAAGTCTTCCAGCATATGCGTCTGACTTGTGATCAAAGTGGCAACACTAGCATTGGATTTCCTACTCAAAGCATCAGCTACCACATTTGCCTTGCCGGGATGATAATGAATATTAAGATCATAATCCTTCATTAGCTCCAACCATCACCTTTGTCTCATATTTAACTCCTTAAGTGTGAAAATATATTTAAGGCTCTTATGATCTGTGTAGATGTCACAAATCTCCCCATACAAATAGTGTTGCCAAATCTTCAATGCAAAGATAACAGCAGCTAACTCCAAATCATGTGTAGGGTAGTTCTTTTCATAAGGTTTAATTTGTCTGGATGCATATGCTACTACTTTCTCATTCTGCATAAGAACACAACCAAGGCCAATATGAGAAGCATCACTATATATCACAAATCCACCTGATCCAGAAGGAATCGTGAGTATAGGTGCAGACACAAATCGATCATTCAACTCCGGGTAGCTCTGTTCACACTTCTCTGTCCACTCAAACTTGACCCCTTTCTGAGTCAATCAAGTCAAAGGTGCTGCGATGCGGGAAAATCCCTCAATAAATCTTCTGTAATAACTAGCCAATCCCAGGAAGCTTCGTATCTCGGTCACGGTGCTAGGTCTCTTCCAATCAACAATTGCCTCTATCTTCGAAGGATCAACTGACACCCCCTTCTTTAGAAATAATATGCCCCAAGAATGAGACACTCTCCAACCAAAATTCACACGTCTTCAACTTTGCATACAATTTGTGTTCCAAAAGTAATTGTAAAATAGTTCTTAAGTATTCTTCATTGTGACGCCCCTAGGTTCACACATGGCTGCAGTCCAAGGTGAAACCAAGAATGTCAAACCTGTCATGCACCACACCGTGCAATAACATGTTTCACCATCATAATTACTCTCTCTCTAGTAGAGTCAATAACAGGTGTAGGTACAAAACCAAGTAAAATATAACACAAGAGTCAACTGATGAAATAATAGAGATCAAATTAATATTTCATCATCTAACATACTGAAATACAAGTCAATATCTGAAATGAATAAACTAAAGTTCCAACAAGTCTCAAATACATAAAGTCTGAAAAAGAGGAGATAAGGCACACAGCCTTTACAACTTCTAGAAATAAACTCTCAAAATGTCTAAACAAAAGCCTACAGTGGAGCTCAAAAGTAAAATATAACTATAAAAGAATAGCTGAAGCTAAAGTGCCTCGCCATCAACCTCCGACTCTCCGGGCTCCTGGCTCGTTACCTAAAAGGGGGAGGGACAACGAGCGTCAAAGTGCTTGCGAGCAACATCACAACCAACCCCAAGGAAAAGGGCTAGTTGTATACAGAAAATACAGTTATAACATATATATAAAATCACAAATCCTATTTAGGTAATTACAATGTGAGCATAAGTACGTCGAGCGAAATAATCCAAACAAGGAAACCCTCATGTATATACCATGTAGCTCAGATTGTAAATACCTATGTATAAGAGGATTTTAGTATTTAGGAAGTTACAACACGAGCATAGGTACGTCGAGCGAAATAATCCAAACAAGGAAACCCTCATGTATATACCTTGTATCTCAAATTGTACATCCCTAAATACCAAACCTAAAATCTAATACAAGAACATTAATAAAAGAAGGCAACCTCATCTCAGATTAAATTACGATGTCGTGTCATAACTTATATAAGTGTCATGTCCAGCCTATGTAAGTGTCAGTGTAAACTCTCAAGGTCTAAACTGATGTAGTGGATGTCCAACATATGGACGGCATATGAAAACTGTCCAACACATGGATTGAATGCGATCAATGTCCAACACATGGACTACCCATCATAATTGCCCACCACATGGACTAGATGAATTATATGAACAGGTGCATATACCCTTATTTCTCACGTGTCTCGATGCGCAAACCTAAACTCGTGTCCACATGTCAACTCACATGTAAAGATACAGGTTATAATAAATTTCTAATACTCATCATTCGAGGCAAACTTCTCATTCATATTGAAGCACGAATCAACAATAAACAACCATAAATAGTTTCAGTTAAACTGAAATAACTCACATAGATCCAAACTGAAGAAAACTAAAAATCCCCTCGTCAGTCGACCCATGAGTCGACCAATCCTATAAGTCGACTAGGATTGGTCGACTCATTGGTCGACCAGACAAACACAAAAAAAAACTAAAGTTTTCCAATCAGTCGACTCATTGGTCGACTCATTAGTCGACTCATAAGTCGACTCATTGGTCGACTGAGCAGAAAATCCCTACTTTTCTGCTTATGATGATTATCTGCAAAAATTTATAAACTCATTGGTCGACTGAGCAGAAAATCCCTACTTTTCTGCTTATGATGATTATCTGCAAAAATTTATAAACAAAAGTTCTCTTTGACCATGTCCAGCAACATATGTTCGATTCTAACACATGTATATCAATAGAACGAAAGATTTGTATGTAATTATTTACATTAAAACCCTAATCATATTTATACATGTTTAAAAACGTATTGAAAACAAAGAATCATAAGAAACCCATGTTTAAAACTAACTCCATATCTGGATCTACATTATAAAAACGTTGGTGAGTTTTTTTATTAACTGAAACATCTGATTTCTTGCATCATATACCATATGGTTATATATTATACGCAATATAATGATTTAGGCTCAATAAATCCGAAATAAAACCAAATAAAACTATACAAACAGTGGGTGTAGGATTGGGCGAGATGTTACCTGCCTCTGGTATGCTGACAAACTCCTGAATCCGAGAGAGAAATATCCCCTATGCTGCACCTCGCCAAAACCCACTGAAACCCTCTGAAAAATCCCCCAAAAATCGCAACAAATGAACTAGGGTTTGAGAGGAGAGAGGGGCTAGGGTTTCTCTGGGATCTGATGAGTTTTGGGGTTGGTTTCGAGTACGAGAGTTTTTATGTAAGCGGTCAAACCCGAAACAAACCAAACCAAACTCGCAAAAGAAAAGAAAAACTTGAATTCAGCCCGTCAATCGACTCATTGGTCGACTCATCAGTCGACTCATTAGTAGACTCATGAGTTGACTCATAAGTCGACTGAGCAGATATAAATTTCCAGATTCGTGCATGTTTTGTGATTCAGCCAAAACCAATGCATGAAACTCTATGAACCACACTCATACATGTCTAATAACTTGTTACTAAGTATATCCATGACCTCAAGTCATTTACCACAAATAGAATTATTTATCACTAATAATTCACATATACTTTTAATAAAATACGGGGTTATACATTCTTCCCCCCTTAAAAGAATTTCGTCCTCGAAATTCAGAAAGCATATTCAAACAAATAGTATTACTCTAGGCAAGCATATAACGATATTTATATTTAACAATCCAGGATGACTATATTCCCACTCAACCCTTAATCAAATGGAACTAGTACGTCGGGCGAAAAATCCAAACAAGGAACCCCCCATATATATACCATGTGTTCCAAAAGATTAAGAATAAAGCGGAAATATCCTCATTCTAGCATTAAATCTAAATATAACCACACAAATAATCACACACATAAATCAATCTACTTCCTTAATAGGTGCAGGAAGCCGCGCGGCATAATATCTTCGCGCTCCCGAAAATCATCTTCGATGTCTACACTTAACCATCTAAAATGTAAATACCCCTACTTAACCCCTAACTAAATGGAACAAGTACATCGAGCGAAAAATCCAAACAAGGAACCCCTCATATATATACCATATGTTCCAAGTACTTAGAAGATAAGTGTTAGTACCCTCATTTTAGTGTTAAGCATAAACATCGCCATACATGAATCTAAAAGTCATATATATAAATCATACAATAAGCTTTAATTAACCTGC